ACCTTAGTGATTCTGTGATTCTGTGAATATTCTGATCTCTGGTTTTTGGTATGATTCTCTGAATTCCTTCTAAAAATCATGTTCTGTCTGTGCACACATATTCACTCTTCTGAATTTTACAAGATGTGAGAAAGAGAGAACCCCATGTTTATAAGATGGGAATCTGTCCGAAAGAGCTTGTGACGGCACATTAGTGCTTGTAAAACCAGTGATCCAAGAGGAGCTGGTGGCTTAGGTGATTTTTTGACTTGATGATGAAAAGGATGTAGTCAGGGTTGAATAAGATGGATGCATAGCATGCCTTATTAGGTGAATTTTCACATGGGTCTTATTCACTGGGAAACTACTTTTCAGACAGCTGGTATTGCTAGCATGAACTCACCAGGGAGTGCAAGATTTGATGGAAAGTAGTTTTGTTCTTTATATTGTGGTAGCCTCATGGAGTTCTACTAACAGACAAATATGAATGGTGCTTTATAAGCATGGGAGAAATTTAAAGATATTCTAATGTAATAACAGCATGTGCACAGTAGCAGGTGTGGGAGGGAGGGTCAGGATGCTTCTGAAAGAAACAGTCTTCATGCATGGGATAGGGAAGATATTTCCGTCAGAAACTGGGTGTTAAGCAGTTTTGTGTTACTCGGAGACTTCAGAAGCAAACTTCTACTCTTTGGCTAACTTTATTTGACTGTTTCATTATTTGATTTGAAAACACACAGATTTAAAAAAATTCTTGTTTTAGCTGAGCATGTCTGAGTCACCTTTTTGTGCTGCTGCAATAGGTCCTTAATATGGAGAACAGAAATAAGAGCATTCTGAAAATGAGGATGCTGAAGACAAACGGCTTCAGACCTTAAAAATGAGCTGAAAGTGGCTCTAGAACAGATCAAACCAAAGTGAAGTGGTGCATGTTCCTTTTGAACCTATATTTTACACTTGTGATTCAGTTATAGCTGGAGATCTGGGAACTTAATGGTTCTAGCAACTTGAATGCAATGCTTGTTCTCTGACTCACAAAGGGAAATCAAGCTTTAACTCTTTTGAAATAATGTTTTTGCTTCCTAGTGTTTGTTTAATTTAACAGCCCTTGCTGGTTACATGTCCTCATAATGGTTCATTTTCCCTTCTCAGCTGGAAAAGGTATTACAGCAGGGAGATATTGGGGAGTGTGCAGAGCCTTATATGATTTTTAAAGAATCTGATGCAGCAAAGGTAAGAATTTTTTTATGTTTTGATTAAATTTGGCTACAAGCACTTTAAGGCATTTTGATATTTATAAACTAAATATACGTTACTTTCTTTCACCTTGGGACTTAACAGCCATTGATACTATTCCTGTTGTTAAAAGGATCCATTTCTAATTAAGAATCTAGTCAAATTCTAAAGGTCAAAGAAGAGTCAAAGACCCTTGAATCTTGATGCCTTATTGGGGTAGAGTAGTTAAAGGTCATCAGTTTTTGTAGCTGACAGGGGAGATGTGTGATTGCCATCAAGCTCAGTCGACTGTGATTCCCTGTCCCAAAGGATCAGCTGTATCTTATAGGTGGGTCAAGTGAAGGCAGCCTTTGATGTGAGTTTGCAGTGAAATTTCAACTTTTCCGTTGCTTCTCCAGCTTAACTCCATCACAGTATCTCTACCTTCCTCTAGAAGGGTTATGAAGCGGATGAAATATGGTAACAGGAGATTCTCCATCAGGCCTGGTTTTGAATTGCAGTGCATTTCTGGTTCTTTTTTTCTTTCTGCTATTTTCTGCTGATTTTTCTTTTTTCTGATATTGTAAAGAAGAGCCACACTCAACAGCGGGATGAAGCTGTCCTTTTTACATATAGTAAGGTTGATTTTAAATTTTTATACTTTAGTGTTCGTTTTGTTCATTAAGTCTTCCTTTAGCTCCTGCCTTCAACAGTTTGGGCATTGTCCTGTGCAGTAAAGTCCTGGGCATTTTAAAGCGCAGTGGATGGCATGGACCTGCCTCAATTTGACTGATTCTTTGTCTTTCCTTCACGTGTTTAAATGCAGCCTGTCTCCTTGCAGGACTAAAAGCAGGGGTTTCCCCACAGGGAAGAATGCTGTCTTATTCCCTGCAGTTGGCTGGTTGCTCATCGTAGTGTATTGGAGTCTGGGTGGGAATTGCAGGTCTGGTTGGTTCAGGAGCAAACAACAATGCTGGTGGTACCTGCAGAATTCAGTGGCACCTGGACTATGGCCGTTCCTCGATCTTTTCACCCACAGGCTACTGTTTGTTTTTCTGAAGTGCTTTTTCCAATGCAACAGTGATTATAGCATAGCAAATCTCTGATTTTACTAGTAGTCAGAAGGAGAAATGTCTAACTTGAGCTCAGTATATTATTTTACAATTTCTTTTTGTAAGATTTGCAAGAGATCTTGGAAAGGAAGCCTTGGGTACACAGAATGTGAAGCAGTACTTATGAGACTCAGAAATGGTTCCTAATTTCTGGTACAATTGGGTTGAGCCAAGTGAAATTTAACGGGTAATAGTGAGGACTGGATGAAGGGCAAAACAGAGATGCCAACCCTTCTGTGTTCAAGAGGCTTTCCATTATGCTTTTTTCAAAGGAGCTGGGATGTTCATTTATTAGTTTCGATCAAACTCTAACAAAGTTTTGCCTTCCTAAAGTTCTAATATATTTTAGCTGAAGAAGTTCACATTTTTTGTCTATCTCTGCCTTTCTATCACTGCAGCACAATATGAAAAATGGATATCTTTCGCCTCAGGTATATAGATAACAAAAGTAAAAAACCTACATTTCCTGTGATCAGTAAGTTGACATGTGCCTAAGTGAAATTTTGGAAAGGGATTTGCAGGATGCTTGGGGATGTAGGTGAAAAGGTGTTTTTTCAAGGTCCTCTTCCCAGCAAGGTGCATAAGCATGTCCTGAACTAGAAGAATGTGAGCAACAGAGCTCGCTCTGTTGTTATCCAGCCACCTGTCTGGGAACTTCTTGAAGACCTGTAGGTAACAACCTTTCTAAAGCAAAAAATTGCTCTTCAATATGCAGAACTATGGAAGAGTCCTCCTTCCCTCAATAAAATGAGTACGATACTGCTTATTTGAGGAATGTTTTCAGTTTCCCATGCAACTCCAGATGATCTGAGTGCCTGATGCGTAAAATCACATTAAGAAAGACCATTTCAGACTTCACAGAGTAAAATTCAGCTTTTCTTGAAAGGGCAGTGGGCAGATGAGCTCACTGGAATTTGACAGGCTATTTGGGAGGCTTAAGAGCATGAGGCAGCTGCTCTGACTCTCAGACTGTCCTGTGTCTGGTACTGTTGGCCTGACGGCAATTTTGTGAAGCAGAAGTCATTATTGCCTAGCACTTAGTGATCCTCCTCTAGAAGGTGCTATTGAAGCACAAAATCATTGCAAGTTAGAAAAGATACCATTGTTACTTACTAATTTTGCTAAATGAACTTTTCTTCCCATTCCTTTTCTCTTAATCTCTTGGATTGAATATTTTCTTCACAGAATAAGGAAAAGTTGGAAAAACTGAAATGCCAGGCAGAACAGTTTTGCCAAAGACTAGGCAAGTATCGAATGCCTTTTGCCTGGACAGCCATTCATTTAATGAACATTGTGAGCAGCGCTGGAAGTTTGGAAAGAGACTCCACAGAAGTAGAAGTTGGCACAGGAGGTACAGTGTCTGGCATCTGCATGAGGGAACGTGGACAAATCCAGAGTTTACTGAAGTCCTGATTCATTCCCTGTATCTGCCATTGCTCTTTCTATCACTTTCCTCCCCCTACCCTAGGCCTTCTGATAGTCTTGGGTCATGGTTGAAATAAAACAGAAAAGTCCATGATAACAAATGGATTTATCTTTCAAGGATTTTACAAGCAAACCATCTGTTATATTATTTAAAACCAGGCTTTTAGGACTGAGAGCGCGTTACAGGCTGATGAACATTTTCCAGAGGAGTGGATTAATCTTTGTGAACCACACAGCTCATCTGAAACTGCTCTTCAGCATCCCCAAAACTGCCAGCTTCATCATCTTTCAGAGCAAGAGAAATACATAAATCTCCACATGATAAAGACTTTTATAATAGCAGTAAGGCACTGGGGTGAGGTTGCTGTGAGAGGAGCAGAAGTAGTCAGCTGTGCTTCATAGCCTCCTGATGCCTCAGGAGTGTGATTGTCTTAGCATAACCACCTCTTCTATCATGCTTATTGCATAATTTCCAAAAGCAGCAGCTATCTTCTTGTGTAGAAAATCCTGGCCGGAACAAAAGTAGGCTCTTGGACAATTGTTTTTCTTCTTTTTTAATTCCTCCCCTTTTTTATTTTTTGAAGAACGTAAAGGATCGTGGTCTGAGAGGCGGAATTCTAGTATTGTCGGGAGGCGTTCGCTAGAGAGAACTACAAGCGGGGATGAGGCTTGCAATTTGACCAGTTTTAGACCAGCTACACTGACAGTGACAAACTTCTTTAAACAGGTATTGTATGATGCTATCTATTTAAGGAGCTGCTCCTTGGACAGAGTGATTTGATCATGTGAAGTCCGTTTAGACCCAAATTATTAATTTGTGATGCTTTCACTGCATATAATGTCAGTTCCCTGATCACAGGATACTCCTGAACAGCAAGCAATGGCTTTATTATACTGTGTGCTTAATTCTGCCAGCAGTGGGTCCACAGTCAATTGATGGATTCTTTCAATAAGTTTACTGTGAATAATTATGTTACGGAATTTGAAATTATTAGCTGGTTTTGACTTGGATGATAAAGTGTCATTATGGCATATAACTACTCTAACTAATAGAACTGGGTTTCCCCAGGAGAATATCAGTTTATTTTGCTCCAGGTTTTTCTAACATGCATTGGAAAAATCATTGGTAAACATATTTAGAAAAATGCCTATAGAAGCAAGTTCACAACAACTGAGGCTAACTTCTTTGGGTTAGTATGTGCCAAAAAGTGTCCTAGATATTTGTCCTAGTCTAAGAGTTGTGGAGCCTTTATCATGATGGTCAGTTTGGTTTCGTTGAGTGATAGAGAACCCCGTTGAAACATCAACAGGCTCAGAACTCGGTTCATCAACATGATTTGTGGTTGGCATCAGTCCCCTGGGCTCATCCAGGGATGCCTGAGAAAACAAAGCATTTCACTTCTGATGCTGCTTTGCTGAGGGGCAGCTCATCTCAGCCAGAGCTTGGGATTCTCCTGAGAAGCAGTAACAAACATGATTAAATGGAATAAAATTTTTAGTTAAGCTTAAAAAATGGTTTCAGGTCATTAATTTTTTTTTGAGATTTCCTTAATGTCACATCTGGTTAAGGAAAAATGTTATTTCAATGTCACCTTTGTGTGTAAAAAGGGATTTAATAGTGAACAACCAAATATTTTTTGGATTGATTTCTTGATGACAATACAAAGATTTAGATTGCATTGAAAGTTGGTTAAGTGCTTTTTTTTTTTTCCCGATTGTTTTGGTTGTGTGCCACTTTCACTGTGGGTAGCCATCCAAAGTCTGCTTTTAATTACAGTAGTGTAAATAAGGAGAAACGTCATCAAGGGCATCAAGTTATTGGTGCAAACCATGTAAGTGGAGGGTGACTCATGCCTCTGGTGCTCCATGCTTTCATGAAACTCAGTATGACTGTAAATGGGCTCTGGGAATGGTATTTCTGGGGTCTCGGTGACACGGAGCAGCGCAGGAAATTCCCTTTACTTGGAGTGTTAATAAAACCCAGTTCTGTAACGTATTCACCCAAGATGTAGAAAGTAAAAAAAACCCCAAAAACAGTGTCTTACAGCACTGCTAATGCAGCCATTCCACCGACCATGTTCTGCAGCCCTCTTTGTAATATACACCAGTTCACTAAGTTAGTAATGATTTACAAAAGCATATATTTATTTACTTTGTCGATATTGTTGAGGTTGTTTTCACTTGACAACTTTGAAACAGCTTGTTTTATTAATTTGTCCTTTAAAAATTGCTGAACGTTGATTGAAGATTTTAAGTTTCTAATTCTTCTGTATCTTTTATGTTTTATCTTCCCGTCATTTCTTCCCATTGAGTGCAATTAATTGAATACGACCCGGCTTTTTTCTCCTTCCATTTGCTTCTTTTTTCATATTGTGATTTATTACCTTTATTGTCAGATATCTTCTGCTTTGGCATAGTCAGATGGTGGCAGAGTCACATTTTCTATAATGTTTCCAAAATTAATGAATTTCTGAGCTACTAGAATGTGGCACAAGGAAGACTGACAACAGACTCCTCCTACTTCCCACCGTTTCTTAACACTTCTGAAAAGTAACTCTTTTAGACTTACACCAAAGAAAAGGCAGAGGAGAAGGAATGGAGATCACTACCTGAGTGACGGATACTATTTCAAACTATTATACTTGCTAAAAATTGGATATTTGGGGGGAATCTTCTAACAGCCATTCTCAGTTTTGTAAAAGATAATATTGATGGGGAGAGAAGAGGTTTTCAGTGAGAAGCTCCTGCAGCTGTCATGATGATTAATAAGGAAAAAAGGAAGGAGAAAGTATAGAGAAATGAACTGTAATTTAGTGTGTTAATTTTAACACCTTGTTCTGGGAAGGTACATTTTGATATCAGAGGAAAGACACTGTAGTATTAGATGGTTTATTCATTCTCTCACAATCCTGAAAGGTTGTGTTGATAACCATTTTCTTCCCAACATCCAACAGGAGGGCGACCGTCTGAGCGATGAAGATTTGTACAAGTTCCTTGCTGACATGAGACGGCCATCTTCAGTGTTACGGAGACTGAGGCCTATCACAGGTATTGAACGAGATCTTTTTGGCTCACGTGTGTTAAGGTATTTGGTTAGTCCTTCCCAATTGCAACCCGGTTCTTATAAGTGAGCAGACGGAAGAACCCTAAGAAGTCATCGACACAAATCCCTGGTAGACCACGAGCACTAAAGATGGCATTTTGGCAGGTTTTTCACTGGCATATGTGCACATGCAGCTCCTGCCACACTGAGAGTAGCATCTGTGAGAAGAAGGTGCAAACCCTGAAGCCCTAAACCCAGCGGAGGCTGAGGAACCTCTGTTCTCCTGAGTAAATACCACTCTCTAGCTGAAAGGAGATCTCTCTCCTGGCTCCCACTTGGTTAATAGGAACATACTCCACCTCTGTTTGAGAAAGGGAAATAAAAAATGCTGGCACACCAGCAATGATATATCACTGGTCCCTGACCTGTGCTATTCCTGACAATATTTACTTAACCTGTTCTTAAAAATCTCCAGTGACAGCAATCCTGCCACTTCCTTAGATCATCTCTCCCAGCACCCAGCTGTCCTTGCAGTGAGGTTAGGTATTAAGAAAACTGCAAAATTATCATAGCGCAAATTAATCTGATTACGGTCTTCTCGTGCCTTCAGGGCAGTTATCACAACCTTTCAAGTACTCGAATGCTGTTACTAGTTACTCTTACTCACTTCTGTTTTGTAGCCTAACCAATCTCAAGTTTTTTTAGCCCTTCCTCAAAGGTTGTGATTTTAAAATTGCTTGTGGTTTTGTTACTCTCTGCTAGAGTTTCCTCAGGCACAGTTGCTCTAAACTGGGTATGCTGCTCCAAAGACATCATGCCAAGCAAGCAGAGGAATTTGTCTCCAGTGTCTTACACATGACTCTGCACTATGCATCGTAGGATGGTTGTACCTTCTGGACATTGGCATGTTGTGACTGGTGTCACCCAGCCCTTTTCTACAAAATTGATCCATCCCAATTATTTTTTTTTACATGTTTTCATGTTTGGCTTTTCCTTCTTAATACAAGTCCTTTGCTTTTTATTATGTTTCACCTTAGTCATTTGATGCCATTTCTCCAACTCTCCTGTCTTCCACATTTTTACATTCGTTTGAGCCTCAGTGGCATCCACCAACAATCAGTGTGCTGTCAGTACTCTCAGCTGACTTGCTAAGGAATATATTCAGTAATCTTGGTGCAGATTAGCTTTCAGCAACTCCTGATGTATCCTTCCAGTTTGAAAGGCAAGATTCTTGACGAGACTTTGAGTATTGTTTTTAACAATAGTTGGACCTTACAGTAGCATTATCTAGACTGTATTTCCCCACCTTGCCTATGAGAACAGCATTTGGGACTTGCTAAGATACATCTTTCCTGTTGGTTCTTATTATCTGGTACCTCAGTTGCCCTAGATACCACTTTGATTCACTGTTATTTGTTTTTAGCAAATCCACATTGGCTGTAATTTATCATTTATTTATTAAATTAATACATAGGATATTGATCTGAAGAAACAAAGCATAAATATGCTTTTTGATTTAAATTAACTTCTATGTATTGTAATAAAATAATTTTCTTCTTACAGCTCAATTAAAGATAGACATATCTCCAGCTCCAGAGAATCCCCATTACTGTCTAACTCCAGAGTTGCTGCAAGTCAAACTTTACCCAGACAGCAGAGTTAGGCCTACAAGAGAAATCCTGGAGTTTCCTGCCAGGGATGTCTACGTTCCAAATACCACATACAGGTTAGAGTTTTGAAATATGTTTCACGTTTCAGGGTCTGAGACTGGCAAATGTAGAAATTCCTACCTTATCACCTGGTTCATTGCAAAACTTGCTATATCAGTAGATTTGCTGTGCCAGAGGAGCAAAAAGGGTCCAGATTGACACAGCAGAAAATACGCAGATGTGAATGGATGAACATATTTGCATAAAACTTGTCTGTGAACAGGAATATGAGAGAGGTTTCTCCATTTCCCAAAATTCACAGTGAAATTTAGTTGAATTCTTTTCAGTTTTATGTAGGTTCTTTTCTTAGTCTGTGTGCTAAAGTCATTGTTCTCTTACTGTTTTTACTTCTTTGGCACTTCTAGTGACTTACTTTTTTTCTTTAAAGTAGGGGATAAAAGTGAAGAAAATGCTTAATCTCTTCGTTCATATTTCCATTATGATTTAAAAGCAATTTCTTTGTTTACAATGCTTTGGAAAAAATCTTCTGAAGATCTAGAAGATAAGAAATTTTTCTATGGTATCTTGGAAAACAATAACCTTTCTAGAACTAAGCCCAGGCAAGGAACAGATTTCTTTTCATTATGTACCACTATTCATTTAAAGCTTTTTCACAGTATCTTTGAAGGCATCACACCTCCGAGTGGAATTGTCTTCTTCAGTTGAGAGATTTCACCAACTTACTCACCAAATCAGTTACTCCTTGTTGTAAAAGTTAGATGAATACAAACCAGGTTTTTATAAAGCGAAGTTTACAAGAAAGAGGTTAGCCAAGTTTCATATCTCATGTCTTTTCAAAAGTTTAATTTACTTATTTAGTTATTTATTTATTTTTAGAGGTTAGACAGGTAATTAAACATTACAATACACCAGTACAAATAAGCAGCATTGTGTGATATCTTCTTTCTAATAAATCCATGAGGAGTAAAAGTATTTTTTCAGTTTCTCTGTAATTAGCACATTCTGTTCACAGTTGCTTCACTGTGACAAATTACAGTATAAAACCAGTTTCTGTATGGTTGCAAATGTTGAAATAAAAAAATCCATACTGTACAAGGGTTAGGTAAGATATGCAAGTCAATATGACTCAATGTAACTGCAGAATTGGGGTCTTTGTCAGTCAGCACTTTCACAGCCAGCCACCCACAAGCATGTCCATAGTCCCTCTGCCTTACAGTATTCTGCAGCTGAAGCTAAACAGATGTGAATGCGTTCTCAGGAGCAGGACCAACGCTGTTGCATAGCTTGTGCCTACAGGGTTTGTTGGTTGGTACCATTGACTCCATTGGAGTTGCCCCCAACAGGCAACTGTTCTCTATTTGAAAGGCGTTTTGTCATCTGCTCACTTGGCCTTTCATTTAATTTCTTAGGTGTACTAAAAGGTTGCAAAATGGCTCTGAATCCATTTCGAATGAGAAGAAAAGATTTCTTAGTTATTTCAGTCAGCTTTGAAGCTTAGCTCTTAACCTGTGGTTAGATCTGTGCTGTGGCTTACTTGATGTGTGTGTACACATCTATAGCTGCATGAGTACAGTGCTTCAGTGAAGATTGGCCTGAGCTACACTGATGAAAATTTGTCTGGAAATACACAGAACCCTAAAATGGGGAATTGCCCATCTTTCATTTGCTCATAGAAATATTCCACAACAATAACATGAACCTAACATGAATGTACTTACTTAATGAAACAAAATTTCTTTTTTTCCTTATAGATTAATACCTAAATGTCTTCCGTAGCATTTTGCCAGCTCTTTGTTCACTGAAACACTTTTCGTGTTCCCTACTACACAACCCAGAAACAAATGCAACAGCCTGAAAACTCATTCTCCCAAGCAACATTATCGAATACATGAGTAGGCGGTTGATTCCTAGGCGTTAGAGTTTCATCCTGGGGAGGTAAAATCTCCACAGAAGTTACAGCACATTGACAATGGAGCTGGGGGGAATGAAAATACTCACCAAACATACTGTAAGACTGCAAATGCCTCAGGGTTTATGTCACTGGAGATTACACCATACAGTGTATGGATTTAGACACGCATCTGTTATTAAATGTAACATGAACTTCTTTGATGTTGTACTGTTCAGTGTATATGTTCTGAATTAAAATGCGTCAGGTTGAGCATTCAGTCAAAACTTTTTAAATCTGTTGGGTGTATCATTATTTTGGTTGACTTGAGCAAGTAGTATCTTCCTTTCTTAGGCTTCCAGTATAAGCCTTTTCTTCTGTCTAGTCTTCCTCTTGACCTTGGCGTTACGTATTTCCCATTAAGATTGGTTTCCTCACATTCACTGTGCCACCAGCCTCCTGAGGACAAATATTGTCAGGTCAGTTACAGTCAGTTGTACCCAACATATTGTGCTCAGTTTCCAAGTAGACAGCTCCCATTTGCAACATAAATCTTCTTTAGACCAGTCCCAGCAAAAGTGACAATTACCCAGTATACCCAAATGAAATGGTGCATGTACATATACCCACTTACACTTGCAAGTTGAGGGACAATACAAAGATGTTGAAGATGTTGTGCTCCCCATTATTGTCTGCTTCACATAAAAGAAATGGTGCATAGAAAACTGCACACACAAATGCTGCCACTAACTTGGGACGCTTATGGAGTTAGCTCCACACTTTCATGTTTCCTGTGACTCTCTACAACTGACTTTCTGATTTGCTGATATTTTTCTCGGGTAGAAATAGTTAATATGCACGAGGCTGAAGAGCCTTTAGTAAACAAATTCTCTTTTTTATTGGATGGTATCCTTAACCACAAACTTAAATTGTAAGACCAGTTTTGCTTGCAAAGGACTGGCAGTGACTCTGTGCTAACAATGAAAGTTCAGCACTTTGGAAGTCACTGGTGAGCTGCTTTATGGACACTAGAGCTGAGTAACACTCTCAGCATTGTTTCAGACATTAACAATTCTCAAGCCTAGGATGACGTACAAAATGTTTGTTGCATGAAGCAGGTGTCTGGGGGCAATTCTGTATCCTGTGGTTTAATCATTACTTGCTTTTTCAATTGTTTGCTTTTTGCTATAAACTGGAAAAACATAAAAGCTTAATAAAATCAAAGAATTAGGACTCCTTTAACCAAATTATCTTTAAGGAGGAATATGTCTTCAGCCTCACATCTTTCTTGCTCTTTTGAGAGTGATAATAGCATGTATAGCTTTTACCTTGACAAACAGCTAAAATCTCCATTTGCATGGAAACTCACCATCAGTCTTAACTTTTGGTTTGCAGTCAAAGTGGAGTTGAGTCAGTTTGTCTTCTCTTTTTTTTTTGCAAGGAGGGATTAAACAATCTGACCTTGGGCTGCCACACTGGAGCAGGCATCAGAGGAAGAACTGCCCTTTACTTAATAGCTCAGAATCTCACCCTGGGATTTTATTTCAACCTGTGCTGCTAGTTCTGTTTCTGATGTTGGTTGTTTGCACAGCCTCACTATGCTTTACTTTTACCTATCTATGAAACAGAAAGGTGATACCTCATTGTTGTAGGGCCCTACTATCTGCCAACGAAAAACATCTTCTGTCCTTTCCTGCAAGCAGAAAGATGCTGCTACCCTCTGTTTTCTGTATCTAAAGCCAGGTTAGTATCAGTAAGTACCCACTAAAGCATACGACCATCCTTCATATAACAAAGAAACTCCTGTGTTGATATACCCAGCATACTGATACCTAGGTAGTTTTCTGGACAGTTGAAGTCGTTTATTATGTCCACGTCACGGTCTGTGGTGGAGAACTGCAGCTCTGTCTGCTCCGGCAGGGCGTTGGGGATGCTCCCGGAGATCCGTGAAAGCTGGAGGGTGTAGTCTGTTTCTGGGCCTCCCAAGCTGAATGCATACTCGATGTAACGTTTATTATCTTTCCAGTCCTGCAGCTCAATCCGAAAGATGTAGTCCCCTTGTTTAGTAATGGAATAGGTCTTGTTCAGGCCTAGCCAGAATTCCTCTGCAAAGTCATAGTAAATAGGTGCTGTTAATATGGAACTGAGCATAAACACACTTAGCATGTTTTTCAGATCTCTAACCCATACCTCAAATAGCTCGTTCACCTTTAAAGTATCGGTATTTGAAAACATGTGTTCAAATAAGCTGTGCAATGTCAGAATTGAGAGATGTCAGAGGTGAGGACTAGGGGACAGAAGTCACCGGGCAGAGTTAGCGGGGAAGGGGTTATGTGATAAACTTTCCCTAAACCCCCATATTGCTCACGCTGCTGTTGAATTTGTTTTTACAGATAACCTGTGGGTAGTATGTGTGAAAATATAGTATTTAAAAGGATTTATTCATTGCTTTAATTAAATCAATAATATGAGCCTTGGGGACTGTTGATCTTTTCAGAGGTCTCCAGCTACATTCTTTTTGTTTACTTCTTCTTAACTGCACACTGGTGATCAATAAAAGCAAGAGATATAAATGAACTGGAGCTTCGCCTTTAACTTTCCCACCTCTTGTGAAACTCTGAGAGGGAGCTCAAGACATTTAAAACATGCATAATTGGAACTATGACAAATTAAGTAAATGACATACATAAAACCTAATTGCAATTGTTGTATTTTTTAAGGCAAGAGCTGCAGAACTAAACGGAGGTTTCGATACCCTTGTGTACAAAGTGAATTTAACTTGAGCATTTTTCCTTTGCTAGAATTCTTGATAATTAGTTTAATTGTTCCATAAATTATATTCATTAAGTAGCTTATTATCAGTGCTGCTGGTGTCGGTGCACAATAGGTAATTGCCACATGTAGAAATAGTGTAGCTGAATGTGAGTGCCATACATGCAGGTGGCATTTAAAGCAATAGAAGACAAGATGGTTGAGTAAAATACTCCCACAATTTACAGGTAAGGAGCAGTAGCCTGTTATATTTTATCACCTTAGAATATGCAGCACAGAACTGAGTAGGACGTAGCTGAGACTGATTTGAGCTGCTGCAAAATCTTTCTGACAGTGAAAAGATGTGGCTTCACGTTGGTTTAGTATATGGGAATTGGAGATCAATCAAGGAGCAAC